TTGCCACTGTTTTATTTTACGTAAGGAATTATTAATACATCATTATGTAATTATGTGAATGTTATTTTTACTGCTATTTAATCATGCAGATGAGTGATGTAGCTCAAGGAGGCGCTACTGTATTTCCTTGGTTGGGCGTAGCACTACAACCTGTAAAAGGAACAGCTGCTGTATGGTTTAACTTATATCCAAGCGGAAATGGGGATCTTAGAACTAGGCACGCTGCGTGTCCTGTGCTTCAAGGATCAAAATGGGGTATTTTTATTACAACCACTTTGATACATTTCGTATTGATATTTATATAATATTGTTCACTTTCTAGTGTGTAATAAATGGTTACATGAAGTGGGACAAGAGTTTAGAAGACCATGTGATCCKAAAGAGAATATACAAGAGACAACTAGTAGATAATTTTGAAAATATTTGACATCTTTTATATAAGTTATTTTTTTAAATAATTTATCATCTTCTTTAACAACGATCAATATTTTACTTTTGTACTGTTTAGTATACACAATACTTTTTACAATATTGTGATWAATGTTTCTTTTGTAACTATAATTGATCTTATAATATTTTTAAGTAGTCCAAATAAATATTTTTATAAATTATTCATTAATCTTATTTTCACTTCCAAAAAAGGGGTAAAGTAGGTAACCAATCTGCTGTACAATAGATGTTAAAGTATTTGATTGTGCCTTATTATTGAGTAAGTAACTATTATGCATGTAAAGGTGAAAAGTTACAAGTAACTGTAATATATAATCGTCTTACATGACATCATATATAATTATGTATATCAAAATATTGGTCTCATCCAAGAACTCTTAGTATGTTTAAAAAATTATTTTATATTTATATTTTTAAAGTGCTCTGTTTCTAGTCTCCTAGGTTTGAGTCGATAGAAACATTTATGGTTTTTTGGTATAATTTTATTTTACCAACTGAAGGGTAAATAGAAACAATTATTGAGGTTCTTTAAAAAAAAGTGAACAAAATTGACGACAATTAAATACTAATTTTTGTTCATTTCCCCCTTAAATATTTCAATTGCAAAAACAAATAAGCAAAATATTTTCCATGACTTCTGGAAAACCTTTTACTATGTCTTTATTTTCCCTGATTGTTTTTGATTTAAAAAAGTGGTAACAAAAATTAACTTATTTTTTTAAATAATTTGGTTAATTAACTCTGGTTATAAGCAACAATTCCACATACCCTATTTTCCGTGGTATTTTTTAAGGGTAGACCCTTGTTGGTTTGATTGTTATCGATGATTTTTGGACAAAAATAAAAGCATAAAAGTTTATTCACTTTCTAAATAGACTTATTTATGAATAGATAACTATTAAGATAGCTATAAATGAAAATTATATAAATTATATGTATAAAATAAAAAAAAAGATGAAATTAATCACATCATTGGACATACCATATACCGAGATATGGAGTTTAAACAATTCATAGATTACATATTAATGGGATCAATCATTGAATCTTTTAATTCAATTTTCCCCACAATATTATTATTTATTTAAAATTATTGCATAAGTATTCTAATAGCAGTATTCACATTTCTATCCACTGTCAATAAAATGAAATCTACTTTTCTCGATGACCCTGGTGATAACATAACATAAGATATGTATTAATTTTTAATGTACACTGTGAGCAATTTAATTAAGGGAAGACAATTTTTCTGCTGATGTTTTTTTTTACATTATCGTCATTATCCACAGTTAATCTTTTACCTGATATACGATACAATTGTTCAGTATTTATTGTTTAGATTCCATCGTTACTGTCTTTTAAATTTTTTTTCAAAGATATTTTTCATATCTTTTGGTATATCCATCGCGGTGAATTATTTGTATACTAATGATTTTCTTTAAAATCCTCGATGACCAATCTGAAGAGGACGATATTATAGCAAATATTTGATGCTATTTTTTTTTTTAATATTGTTTTTGAGTTATCACAAAATATTTTCACCAACTTTATTGAAAGTCGTGGATCATATAGACTTCATGGATTTATATCATCCGTTAGACACACAATTATGAACTATATTCAAATAAATACCTGAAAAATGATGCCACAAAGATAGTAACCAAGATATAAATAAAATCGAATATCGAAATAAAATAGATTCATGTACGTATATGAAATTATATGTTTAGAATGTGTTTTTAATAGTTAATCGACACGCTCGTTTTCAACAGGATCGGCTCTAGCTTTTTCAGTGCCTAGTGCGGGTATTATTTCGGCGCTTTTCGCCCTCTTTTTAAACACATAAATTGGCAACCGCAACCCCTCCCTTGATTTTTGCGCCCCTGTGCGGCTGTGCCGTCGCACACGTCGATTCGTATCTTAAGCCGGCCATGGTTTTCTGCAATATAGTCAATACGATAGTCATAATAAGCAGGGCTGGGCCGATCAATAGCGGCGCTCCTGGCAAAATAAAAATTTGCGCCCCCTCCCTAGATTTTCAAATTTAATTATATATCAAATTTTGCACCCCTGGCAGGCACCCACCTTGCCAGGACCTGATAATAAACACCTTAAAAATTTGAAAAATATTCGCGTTGACTCTTGGTTGAAAATTAAGAAGGTTAGGTATAAGTTATATGAACATATGATATTTTTTAAATTGTACCTATATTTACTATTTAGAAATTGAATACTGAGGGGAATTCGTAACGTTTATTTAACAGGAAGTTTGAATATTTATAAAATTATTTACATTTTGTAATGAACGCATTTCTACATTTCAGCAGCTAATTTATATGAGCGAAAAAAACAGTCGATTAACTTGAATTTTAAAATTAATTTTTAATTTTAACTTCTACATTTTAATAAAACGATATGCCATATTGTACATTGTAATACAGTTTGGTTACCAGTGTGTGTTATTTTATCACAGAGTTTTCATTACTTATAAAATAATTAAATATGAATAGATACTTATTTAATTATTTCATTAAGCAAGAGGTAGCCAATTAATAAAATGTACAGATTCGCAGGTATTCAGGTCTGCTCAAATATTAAAATTAATTGAACAAAATTGTCGTATAACGGCGTAACGTATAGGCAATAGAGCTACATTAGTAGTACATTACTCGGTAGGAGTAGGTAGGTACCATATTGTGGAGAGATACATTTTGTATTTTCCATTTTTGTTATGCTCATTGCTCAAAATAAACATACTATTATTATTATTAACTGGTTTAATAGACTTGATCATCATATCGCATTTATTTGTCTTGCTGTGTGTTATAACACGTAATCACATAATTTTGTACACTATACGGCAGACAGWGGTTGAATTGAAATAAATAAATAAAGGTGAACTCTAAATGAAGTTGAATAATTAAGCAAATTAATTTCGTAGTAACCCTATTCCTTGATGAATATAATAAATGGGTACGCTATAATTTGAAGAAAAATGAAGAGTAACTCAGTCCTCCTGCGTCCTCCCACAATTCAACCAGTAAACACTGACGGATGACCAAAACAAAGGTAATAAATAATTATGAGACAAGTTTTAATGTTCCATATTTTGATAATCTACATAAGTTAGGTTTGATAATCCTAATCGTAAGAGGAATAAAAATAAAATGTACGTATTGTTTTTCTAGTTGTGTTCCTCAGAAAAGACTTGAACATTTCAAGATTCAAGAAAAATCAAGTTTTTGGGACTCAACAATTTCAATACTTAATGTGAAATTCACCTAATAATCGTCATTAACATGTGAAAATAAGTTCCAATGAATGCCACGTCCAGTGATATTTAAATATAGCATACGTAAGACTTACTGTTGTCTCTTAAGAGGACCCACACCAGCATGTGTTGTCTCCATCTTACAAACGTAAAACATAGCATATTTAAGCAGTTTACGTTTTTTTCCGTTACCTTAAAAATTAGAGTGAATAGATCTATTATGAAACTTGATGGTAAGAACATTATCTGTGTTTTGTTGGAWGTATTTTTACGATACTTCAGTTTTTAAGGGAGTTATGAGCATTTTTATTTTACAATTTATTAGAGGCGCATAACTCACTTAAAAATTGAAACATCGCAGTACTTAAAAAAAAAAAAACACAGATAATGATCTTGCCTTTAATTTTTACAATAGGTCAATTCACTCTAATTTTTAAGCTAACGGAGTAAAACGTAAACTTCCGAGCGTCAGTTTGCTATGTTACGTGTTTGTAAGTGGAGACAACACATGAGTGTGTGGCGTTCTTTTAAGCGGACTGTGTATAGGACCAGCAAAGATTAACGTGCTAGCTTTGTGGTTTCTCATTAACAGATAAAAATTGAAACAAAGCACGGTCTTYTTTTGATTCTATTGATCTTCGCTGTGCTGATCCAATAGCAAGCTGACTAAAGTCAATTAATTAGACAACACTTCATGCTTACACCATTTCCGAACAAGGTCAGGGACAATAGCACGAGGCTACATTTTTTCACTTTGCTACCTGCAGACATATAAAACAACTATTTTAAATCTGCACGAAATTTGTTTGTAGTAATATGGTTGACGTAACTGTAATGTATCTGCTGCTTTCCCAATAAACTTATCTACGACCGAATAAAAACTATCATACTGCTGTAAAATATTAAATTATACCTCTAAGAAATATATTTTTATTTTAATCTTACAAATATTTATTCTGAGATTTTACAGAATATAATATTATAGATGGAAATATTCTTATTATAAAATTTTTAAATAAAACTTGATATGACRAACTATATAAAGTCTATAAAACTAATAAAACATTATTCACAATGAAAATTAGTAAACATATTATTTTCAGTACATGCACATCATGCAGTCAAATAATATGGACATATCAATTAAAATAAAAAACACGCATATTATACACAATTAAATTATATAATTTCATTGCAWCCATACAAAATATTATGTACACACTCCATTTGTAAGGGATTAATTATATTAAAAGGAAAACAAATAAAGACAATCTTAAAATTTTATTTTTTATCCTATTTAATTTTTATTTTATACACAAATTTTTTTTATAAAATAGTATAAACCTTAAGTAGTGTAGTTTTTTTCTGTTACTGTAGTACTACAAATGTACAAGCCATAAATACTCAATATTGTTGACAAATAAATATATAGAATAAGAAGATAATTTAAACATATTTGACCTTAAGGAAAAAATGTTTTAAGTAGGAGGAATTTACCTAAGGAGTTAATTACAAATGTAAACAATTAACAAATATAAGTATATGGACATTAATATTAMAAGTCTAAAAGTGGCCATAATTATTTTAAGTTCTTCACATGATTTGAATTATTGCAAATTAACAACGGGTTCCTTAGAGGATAGATATAAGAGGGTTAGAAACATAAATTAACATTAATCGCACACTATGTTAAAAAAAAATATAGGTGTGAATGAGAGTGCTCAATGAAAAACAATATGTGGCAGGCCTACACTGGTCGGATAAAATTTAAAATAAATAATACAGTAAAATAATAATCATATATCAACTTAAACAATGACATTATACACACAGTCTTTTTTTTACAATTCATCGTGGGCTTCTTCAGATTTGGATGCAAGGTCTTCGTCTTCTTCTTCATCTTCCTCATCAGGTTGGGCAGCATCATCAGACTTCTTTGCTTCTTGTTCTTCTTTCTTCCTTTCTTCTTCATCYATTGCTTCCTTCATCTTCTTCTCGCCCTCCTAAATGATTTAACATAGATTTAAAATTAGGTACATTCAACATTTAAAATTTAGATTTTACTTACATATCTTGATTTCCAGATGGCATCTGCCTTTTCTTTAGCTAGTTCAATATCGTCTGTGATCAAAACATTGTTGAAAATAGTACCAGATTTAACTTGCCATAAGTCAAAACCAATAGCACAAATTTCTTTTCTTGAATATAGCTTATCATCTTGTTTATATTCTGGATTGTCAATTTCTGGATGTACCCACACTCCCTTTAAAAAACATGAACATTTTATGATGTGGTTAAATCAATTCAAATTTTTTTAAGGAATATTTAACTAAAAAAAAATTGAATAGAATAGAATATTTTTTATTYGTACCTTGTAGTTTGGATTATCGATTTGTTTTGGTTTCCATTCACCCTTAAAATCTGGATTATCAATCATAGCTGGTTCCCATTCACCATCCATTTCATCATCCCAATCTTCTGGTTTAGTAGCAGCTGGGTCAGGAATGTGTTCTGGCTTGTCCCAATCTTCTGGTTTCTCATCATTAGGATCATCAATTGTAGGCTTCTCATCCCAATCTTCAGGTTTCTTAGCTTCAGGATCTTTGATTTTTTTGGGTGGCAAAAAGTCCCAATCAGCTTCTAATTCACCAGATTCTACTTTCTCGTTGTCAATTAATACCTCATAAGTGTTATCAGGCTTTACAATAAGTGTGTAAACATGAGTGTAAACATCATCACGACAACGAATGTCTTTATTGATCAATAAGTTTTTTCCATTGTAGCTGAAGATAACATGCACCTTCTTTGTGCCGGGTCCACAAATATCAGGTCCTAGAAATAAACAAAACTTTTATTTAAAAAAGGAAAACTATGGAGTCAAATTAAAAACAAACATAATAAATTATATATTTAAATAATAATTTAAAAAGAAATTGATGAGAACTTCAAAACATATTATAGGTAAAAGTATACTTTTAAATAACAATTTTTATTCGTGGATATAACATCTTAATAGAAAAAACTATTTAACAATTGAAAACTGATGCTTATCATACATTAAGTGCTAATAAAACTWAGAGAKTAGTTAAACACTATACTATTAGTTTTATTCATTACTATAAATGTATATCTTTAATTGTCAATTCGTTTTTAGCTAGAAATAAGTAGGTACTCATATAAAAGTAATATTACTCAATACTTAAAAGTACCTTAATGAGTATAGTATTTCAACAAACAGATAATACTAATTATCTTGAGAAATTATTATGGGAATATGAAGTATTCAAATTATTTTAGTGATATTCACAACTTTAATTAAGATTGTTTTAAGAAAATGTATTATGTGTAACCTTTCAGAAACACATTAATATGTATTTAAAAATATTCAAAAAATTAAATAGCAATACAATGCTTATTAATTATTATGCAGAATACTTGAACATAACTATGAATCATTTTAAAAACCAATAAAGGTTCATAAGTTTTAAGATTACGAGGCATAACTGCTTATAATGAATTTCAAAGTGTTAAGTACTCTAACCTATTAAAATGTCATTTAAATGTAAACTTAACTGTATTTAAATTATCAATATTTACTCCAATTTGAAGTGATGTTAAATCAGTTAAATGTGTAGAAGAMMTGAACAATAATTGTTGCTAAAGAAAATTATTCATATTATACCTAATAACTCATAACTAAATTTATATCATGCAGAATTAATGGAGTATACCTAATGACAAAATAAAATAAAATGTAGGTTGATAAAATCAAAATTTTTCAATCAATAGAAATGTATTGATATATATATATATATATATATACCTATATTAATATCCTTACTACCTACCTATCAAAACAATTATATGACTAGTCTCTGAAATGTCATTACAGAGGTTTTCTATTACCTAAAAAAAACCATTGTAGTAAAATCAACTAAAATCAAATAATTATTAGTAGGGAATAGGTTAGGTTACATTTTATCTTACCTCAACTCCATTATTTATTTTCCTATTTTAATAAAAAATAAAAATAAATATGTGGTTAAATTTATGATAAAATGTTAAAATCAATAACGTTAATTTTCTAAAATCAAGTAATTAGTAAAAAACATTTCAAATAGAATCATTGTATATAGTAAATATGATGGGTAAATACATTTATTAATTAACAGAAATCAATTAAATAACAAGCAGTGTATAAAAAAATTATATTTACTCATTAGGTAGTAGAGGAAACAAAAAAAGGTATTGTTGACAGTTTGTTTAAAAAACAAATTATTTAACAACAATATCTACAAATTAAAAAATAATAGCAGTTTTTTGTTTTATTTAACATACACATGTCGCTTATTTAAGTAGATCAAATACGACATTATTTCTAGCCTTCACTAATATTGGAACRAAATTATCTATTTGTAATGTAATCTCTATTTCAATCAATTATACACTGCCATTATTATTTATATTTCAAATATTACTTTCATTATGATACAGGAGACTTTCTCCAATTTTTATCACTATCATATAAGAATACAGAAACTAATTAACCACTAATATAGTCATACRATGTTGATATAAATAAATAATGACTGATTAGTATCTAATAAACATAAGCTAATTAACATATATTTTTAATTTAAATATAAATAGTAGCAAGTACCTACTATACACATAGTTTCAAGGAGTATAAAAGAATATGCTATCTAGTAAACTCATATGGCTCAAATTCAAATATAATTAATCTTGTAAAATATAAATGTTGACAATTTTAATAAACTTACATATCTCATTATTATATTTAATCATTTCAGTATCATTTTTATCAGAGTGTAAATAAAATTTATTACTATTAATATAGCTTGTATTTAAATGTTTTAAGGTACATTTTTTTAGTTATTGTTAATATTCAAATGTCACATACGTATGGACATACCTATTAGTTTAGAACTTTGCTGTTGATACCTAATACAACTAAAAAAACATATTTACCAAACATAATTTCATACGGCGTTTCACCATGCATTTTCTTTGGTTCCAAATCACAGTTGAAAAGCTTTACGTATCCACCTCCACAATCAATATTCTGTTCGTGTTTGACTGTATACTGGATGACGAGGTCTTTGCCTTCATTACTGAAGGGCGGGAATTTCTTGGACAAGGCATAGAACCGAGCGTCCTGCGATGTCTGTATACCCTTGTCAGCCTCGACATCRTTGTAGAAAGCGCCCGAGCTGTGAACAAACTTTCCGAACTCTTTTCCGGGATGTTCCGAGTATGTCCATTTGGTCTCAAACGAATCTGTGGGATGATGACAACAGAAAATTAACACAATTGTTCGCGGCGGACTAGTCAAACGTTGGCAATAAACAACAGTAATAGGTACATACCGTCGGGGAAGTTCTCTTCGAAGTAGATTTCCGCGCTGACGGCTAGGGCGGTAGCCAGGCAGAACAGTGCGCAAAGTGACAACTTCGTCGGTGCTCTCATGTTGAACGGATATTATAATATATATTAATTAAAATATATATATACTTAACGAGCGCAAATCTTCTGCCGACAATGTCGGGACTTGATGCGACGTCGACTGCCAAAGAAAAAAATTGACGAGATCGCCAGCTACGCTCGCGCGTTCACGTACGTTCGTAGATCAAAATGTAATGTATACGCGGGCACTAGTGAGTGGTGACGACGACGGCGGGCAACCGGGATATCGCACATCARATATTTGAAGTCAAGACAGATGGACACCGGCGATTGGCCCGGTCGTTCAGCCAACCGGCGCACAACACGCCGTGACGGTCGACCGCCGACGCCGCAAATAACCTAAAAAATATAAACGACACAACTACCACGACCGTCGACGACGACGACGACGACTACGACGTCATGGCCGACGATAAGTGCCGCCAAAATTTAAACGCATTGTATTTAAAATAACGCATAAAACCATTCATTCTAGGGTTCACCCTTAATTTATTTATACGCCACGCATTCAGGTATAGTCAATTACTAATAAATTATCCGTGTACTATCCTTCTTTATAGAGGTATTCGGTTTTAATCTCTTTTTACCTCTATACATTTACATAAATAATTTATATATTCATTATGTACTATTAATAATAGTCTATTATGAACACCTACATAATTTAATATATTATATGTCTATATAGATAGTATATATTACGGGTACTTAAAACGTTTTGTTTTTATTTCAACTTTTTATATTGTCGAATTTAAATGTTTAGTATTTACAACTGATGTGATGATGTGAATATGTAATAGCTCAAACATTATCTATATCAGTAATAACACTATTATAATAACTAATAAGCAAATTTAAATACAATAAAATAAATAAAAACTATTTGTTGTGTGCAAGATACGACATCCCCCACGTTAAACTTGTACAACGCATTTACGTAATGCAGTCATGCATCTGGAGGTCAATTATTGAGTATTCATATAATAGTATAGGTATAACTAGGGTATTCATCTATATGCTACCAAAAAGAACGAGCATTACCTTTTTTTTTTGGGGGGGGGGGATTAAAAAAAATATTTGACAAATTTTATCTGAAATTGATATATTAATGAAAATGTTGTTATTATTTAACAATTTACTGAGAGATTACAGCCCCCTAATCCTCACCACAGGATACCCCATCATTGCGTACTGCAGTTATCTATAGGTATATATATAATGACTTGTAATAGATATTATGTAGACATTGGTGAACCTTATGGGAATGGCTACGGCTTTCCTGCAAGTATAAAATTATACTCATATTAAATCATCCTGCATATAATTATTATGAAAAATAAGCAATAATCAAACCTTATAATAMAAAATGCAATTCTTGTGGAACTGAACTCTCACTTATAACCACCATGTAATTATTACCGAATGCCTCCAATACGCAGATGGACAAAGAAATTTCGAAATACCCAACACACTAGATGCAGCCCTYGGACCCGACGCAACTACCACGACACAAATCCTTAAATTCCTTAGCAAAGCAAATTTGTATAATACAATTTAAATCTAAAAAAAAGTGTATTTATTAATAACTGTAACAAATGGCCTTTGTCACCGATGTTTATAAGAACAATAAAAAAAAAACCTTATAATAATAAGTAATAATAACCTATTATCTATGGAAATATACTTAAGTTAGCTAACTTAAACTATTTTAATATAATTTTATTTAAATAATTATGCTTGTGAACAAATAGTCAGTACCTATCTATTTTAGCCACTCCAAATATGAGTTTATCAAGCTTGTATCCGCTTGTACCTATATGTGTACGCGTGGCTATATAGCTATAGTGCTATATACCTACGTGGTCGCATCCTATAGGCTGCAGCTATAATACAAAATAACAGATAAATATAATTTTAATATATAATCATACCTATATRTACAAACATAAATAAATAATAATATTTCATAAATTAAATTTGCGCGTATATGTTAACATACAATATTACGTGACCTTATAGATAGGAATGGACATTGGTATGAATGGATGAAGCCATATTTTAATAGTCAAAATATTTTATGAGACTAAATTTGACTACATTATATTATTATAGTAACTATAAATTATATAACATACATATTATAATGTAAGTATTTTTTATATATTATTCCGCGGTTATATAGAGTATAGATAGTAATATATTTAATCCTGTACTGGCTGTACTGTATACCTATACACTTGTACTGCAAAGTGTGCAGATTGTACTGATTACATTGACCAATGTAATGACGACAAGTGAACCAAATTGACTCCAATAATTACGCACCAAACAATAAAACAACCGGTGTAATAATATGCGGAATTGCAGAATTAAAGTTGAGAGTACCTACCTATACTGGAAATATGTAAAATTATCAGAGCAGGAGTTAAATCTTCTAAATATTTTAAAACCCATTAAACACTTAAATATTTAATTGAATAGGATAGGATAATTATTTTTAATGGAAGTCAAATATCCATTATATTGCAAAATTCAATGAAAATATCTGAATGCAATTTTAAATTTAGAACGATGATAGTATTTTGTATTAATTGCAGCTTTTGCAATAGTGAAGTATATTATATTTAGTTATTTTTACATTTTTTGTGCGGTTGTAATCTTTCGAAAAAAATAAAAATTCCAAGCGCCTTTTGATATAATCGAGAAAAGTARAAATAAAAATTACACCAAATCTAGAATATTTATTAGATACAATATCCAATTTATGATTAAATCAATTTTTATTTCTAATTTTAAAATAAATAAATATAGATGCTTGACATTTTAGCCAAATATTATATGATATTTTATATTTTTATAAATATTTTGACACTTTTTAGTATTTAATGACATTTGAAATAAAATTATACATTTTCCTATTTTTTTAAGAAATAAGTTATTCTTATACCTACAGTAAATGTAATTTTAAAAATAATGGTATCTCTCCGATTGTTGTTATTTTGTTTGAATTCAAAAAATATTAGATAATTGTAGTAGAGCAACTTTTCCTCATTATTATGCACGTGTCTGGTATTTCAACAATTAATATGTTTTTAGTCCAATTTTTAAAATATTTATCACAACATTCCTATAACAAGTACCTGAAGTACCTATTTTACAGAATTCTGTACTGTAAAGTGTAAACCAGTAATCACTACTAATCTGCAGTATATTGACAGTAAGTTAATAACAATAATAAATGTATTATGTATAGGTACCTGATTACGTAATATAATTTTTTAATTATTTTTAATTATTGTGAAATATATTCGATTTAAAAATTAGTTCAACCACTGTGCGCGCCATTGCATAATATTTAATAAACACTTCACACATCACACGCGTATTTACTTATAAATTATATTTTATTGGAATATTATATAATTCCTCCTAATGATGTATATTGCATATTTACACATACGGCATTCATATATAATTCTACCATACACTTATAAGTTATATAAACTAATATAACTATATATACATATACTATATATATGTACTGTCTATTGCTATCATCTTCAATCTTCATTAACATAAATAATTTAATAAAATAAAACCTTTGAACAATTTTTAAATTATATACCTACCTATTTGGCTATTTATTATATATAATTGAAAATTAATAAAAGTAAATAATAATATGTTTTTTTTTATTTTGCAGCATTAAATTTGTCTTTTTCAAGCTTGAAATGGATTATTTAATGGTTTTCACAAATAAAGTAAGTAACCAATTATTTACTATATCTTTTAGTTTTTAATTTTTAATTACTTTTTACCATTTATGTCGACGAAGGYGGCATTCTATGATSTATGKAAGCAATTAAAAACAATGAAATATATACGTTTAATAATAGATATATCTATTTGCATAATATGGTTTGTTGAAAAATCAAAATGACCTGCTGGAAACCTTGCACACTGGACACCCGAAATAACCCGTAGTGGTAGCCATGTGCTGCTAATCATTATTACATAGGTGCTCACAAAGTCACAATTATCTTACACAATTTTAGAAGGTTGCATRATGTCAAATGTCTGTGTAGTACGTTAATATTATAGGTAGGCACCTTTAAAATATGTATTAGGCACCTATAACATTTACCATTTTAATCTTGCAACACGGCTTTCTGATGATTCTGTACAATATGTAGCTATAGTATGTATAATATATAATATTATATTATATAATTATATAATCTATAATATATACAATATATAGCTATGATATAGATAACTACAGATACATTTATAATAAGGTAATAAATAACAACAGATTGGAAAGGTAATATATTTATGGGATATATATAAGTGGTAAAACGTACATTTGATTTAATATATATATATATATATATATATTATTTGCATACGACACAGGTGGTGTGTACAATGTTAACTGTGATGTATCTATACGATATTAAACATTTATTGCATATGTTACAGCGAATAGCTTCAATAGCGAACAAAAATATTAAAGTACCTAATTTCCTGCATGTATATGATGGAGCTCATGAAATTAAGCTGTAGATATAAATTAAATACCTTTATGGCTATATGTATTGTATATACTATATAGTATGTTACATTGTTATATTTTGTAACTGTATAAATGTACCTAATCAGAAAAATATAGTACACGTAATAATAAATAGAAGTAAAGGTTATTAAATATTGATAAGAGAAAATATACTACATAATATATTATTATTATTTATTGTATACTGCAAGTACTAACTAAGTAGGTACTAACCTATTATCATTTTATACATTATTAATCTAGAATAGGTACCTATTGATAAGCTGATACTATTTTTGAAGCATAAAATATTTTTTAAATGTATGTAATATCAATTCAAAAGGTATCAATAATTTATTTAAATATTAAACTTTATTGGTTAATTAGTGGCGGTTTAACAAGGTGAGTGGATCTGGAAKACTCATCCCTCCCTTGAAAATTGGTCTGAGCAATTCTGCATACGTATTTATTAGTTCTAATAATAATCGTTACTCATTATAATATAGTCATCATCAGAACATAATACATATTAATATAAATTGTTTCATTATTTTAATAGCCTTAAAATTATTTATTTAAAATATTTAGCAAATAAAATTACTTCACATGTACACATTGTACACCTATATCTAAGGAAAACGTGTGCTGTACGATATATACCAGATTTGAGAGGTTTTCTCCAATCTTCGGGACTTTTCTAGAACTTGCCCAGTGTATTTATATTGCCCAAATTTATTTCAAATATTAGCGTCCTAACCCAGATTTTGAGCCTTTAGCTAAAAGCCTAAAATTCAAGTAAAATTATGCTTGTTTTAAAAAATATAAGAAATTAAAAAGTAATGGTTATACCTATACTCGTCACTTGTAAGAAGGTATAATATCATTGAGTATTAATAAGTACTTGGGTAGTATTTATTATTTAATATTTAGAGAATCATATTTCATGTATTATTATAAATTATAATCAATAGTAATAGGTATGTTATAGCCATTAAACTATATAGGTAACAGGTAATACATAAAAGGTATTTAAAAATATTAAATAATAYRAGTATATTAAAAGTGACATTAGATATAGTGCTATATAAGTAAAAAGTATAAATACCTACGACCTACCTATATGAAAAGAAAGTCATTTCAGATTAAATAAATACAGTAGTTCAAAAAGCAAATATTGTCAACTATTTTATTGATCAATTATTTATTTATATAACAGCATAAAATCAATAATTGCTGGTAATTTTTCAGTATGATGGCCGATGGGAGCGTATATTAACACCATTACTATAAACCCATATAGACACCAGCTGTATGTACGTACAATTTATATCGACAACCTATATAACATAATAATATTTTAATTATTAAATACTATTAAGTAACTATAATAATAAGTAAACAAAACGTAAAAAAGATTACCTATGTCATTGTAAATCTGTAATAATTMTCCATACATATAATAAATTATACTATTTATACTCACATATCATGACACATTATAACATGGAGTTTAATTATGTATATATTACATTATATAATTATTGATTTATAACCCATATTTTATTGTAGTGATAAGTGAATGGGTATAGACGACCGTCGGTACTAGTGTACTACCAACTGATATATTATTGTCATGAAACAGTATGGAATATACCTATTGTATAATGTTTATTTTTAAATGTTAAATTTGCAATGATTTTATACAAGTTTTATGTTAAAACAAATAAACATTACAGCAACCTAGGAAAATATCCCGTGAATTATTTACCTCTCAAACTCTCAATTAATTGGTACAATTGTACCATGGCGTCATATTGCTATATTGGGAACCTTATATAGACATTACTATTTCGTATAAATAATACTCTTCAATAAATCATAAGCATGAATTCCCGAGATTCTATTACTATTCCATATTATGTACTGCAGTGTACCGTGTACCTATATAATATACATATATTATACACTATATATCTTACGTATTGAATACTGTACATTAGCATTAAAATTTAAGTGTTCAGTTCTCCAGAAGCCTCCCCCTCCCTTAACAAATTGTTAAAACTTTATTTGCTCCTACGTTTAGACCTATTACTCCTACTTAGCGATTTGTATATTATCAATTATTATGGTTAATAACTGTAGTATAAGTATATTATCATAATAAAAGTGTTATTGTATCTAAATGGCTGACCACAACTTATTAAAACAAATCGATCAATAATTTCAAAATAAATTCCARATAATAACAAGAAAGGCAATTAAGTGCCTATAATTATTTATTACATTTGGTACATAATAATTATTATTTATGGGCTATGTCTATAGTRTATAACAGCGGTCCCCAAATTGTTCACCTCGAGCACTTTCTAAGRGCACCGTGGTCTACCGGCTCATAATAAATAATTTAAAATGTAAACAGATTTTTTTTTTTCAAAAATTCGTTAATATAATGAGTATTTTCTTTTTTTTTTTCATAGAAAATCATTATGGGCCGAACTGTTTTCACATTACTCAACTCAAAGTAATTTATTTTTGTCTCGTCTCTCGTGGTATTCATAGCCGCCTCCGTGGCTATATTTGGTCCAAAAAAGGGCGCCGCGCAGAAAGTTAGGGAACCGCTGGTCTATAGACTATAGTAGGTAATTAATAATTTTGAGGATATAACAATTGTACACAACTTAATTATTAGTCCCGTGCTTATTTTATTTTTGCGTTGACTACAATCACAACACTCGATAAATCATAATAAACAGTGATTAAACGCAAATAGCATATTATTGTAGAACAACTGAACAACAGCACGTCGATTTCAATACAGCGGTAGTCACCTACGTAGTGTTTACTACCTGCTATTTATTTATTATTCAAAACGGCCGGCATTTAGCCAAGATTGTTAGACAATCATCATAAAAAGTGAAAAAATTCTTTAAAACAATAAACCTTGTAGAGTACTTGTTCAGTATAATATATTGTTTTATCGATCGTCGATATATATCGGTATAGGTATACCTAATTTCGTGCACCGATCGGAATACATTTTCCATTTCGTGGTCCATCCGGCGTTTTGGCCGGATATAAAACATTATATCCTGCAAGTCTCTGATAAATAAACATCAATTTTATAGGTACTTCACTACTTAATGTCTGCGGGCAGAAAAATTTGCGCTGTTATGACTCGGACGGCCGTGTACGTGTTTGACAAATATCACTTCGCCATCAATACGTTCAGTGGCTCCGCAATTATGTGTGTCGGCGACATCGCGCAACAGAACGTAGAACGTTACCACGGGTTGTCCGAGGGTTACGACTGGTCGAGAACCGGCAAGTACCTATACATTCGATGGGCAACATTGTGGACAATATTTGAAATAAAGGGGGGGGGAGGTGGTAAAATATTATATTATTGCATACGAATCCTGGGGGAATAAAACCATATTGGTATAAAAAATATGGGCAATTATTRTGAAAACGATAACGAAGATGCCAATTGCAGCGAGTAGGCATGTATTTGCAGTTAGCATAAATGCATAATATTACCATACACATTGTCCAACCKCCATGTATAAATAGTATAAAAAGTTTCATAAAAAATGCTCTAAATAACCCTTTTAAGACCGCAAAACATGTTGCAGGGAATGCTAAATCTACGTTGCGATGACCAGCTCCCCCCTCCCCCCTTTCGGTGCGTCAAAATGTTGTCATTAGGTGTTTCGTAAATTTTTAATGGATGTGTACCGTTTGTATTGTGTTTCCGGACGTGTTTAGCGCGAATCGCGGTRATAGGCAGCATTCTGGGATCCGTACAACATATATTTTACCGATCGCTGGACAACCGATATCCAGCCAGAGACGGGTTCACGATATCCAAAAAGATATTCATCGACCAAATGGTGTGCACGCCATTCAACATCGTTTTGTTCATATACGGGTTGGGTTTCTTGGAACATAAGTCTTTGACCGAGATCAATGAAGAGTTTAAAGACAAGTGTGCGATGATATTTTTGGTAAGCTGTAGCTGTTGACTGTGGTTGTCTAGATCTAAGACTCTAACAATCACACTGTACGAACACACTGGACATCGCAGTGAATAGAAATTTAGGCTAATTAATTTCCATAACGATAGATATAGCCATATGGGTATTATATCTGAAGGGTTTTAATCTATATTAAATACCAATTAATTAAACTGTCTACAGGGAGAATCTGGGAGTAATAATTTATTTTGCACAAGATGCTAGAAAATCAATGTTGTTAATATTTTCTATGAAATATAAATAAAAATTTAAATAACATAATATTATTGAATAGGTATAAATAACTATAAATATTACATTATATTTATGATTTATTTAAAAATATACACGTTTTTTTATGTTAATTATTAAGTTACACTATCTATTTGGCTAACATTCAAATATGGTACTAAAATAGTTGTTTACATTGTAGTCTCATGGTAAAAATAAATGCCAACAGTTTTTTATTTTTTTTTTTTTTTGACAAAACAAAGAAGCCAAATATTAATTTATCAACTATTAATGATCAAAACTTTTAGAAATTTACTGTTAAAATAAATGCTTATATATTTTTAAAGATTATTTACTTAAAAATAAAATATTCCTCTTAAATTTCTCTAAGTATATTTCAACTTAGTTATTACTGGATGCTTTTAGGTTGACTGTGCTGTTTTTGTCCCAACACAATACATTAACTTCAAGTTTTTAGACCCAAAATACAGACTTCTGTTTACAAACATGGTTTCTATTATGTATGACACTTTTCTCTCATACATTAAGTATACGGTAAGTAGTATTTTGGTTTCAAATACCATGATACTAATATTAAACAATAATACTCAATAGAATATTTTTAAACAATTTTCAGCACGATATTCTCAAAATGATAGAAAAACAAAATAACAATAACAATTGAAATGTAAAGACAATCTCAATAGAAAGTAAAATATATAAATACATGTATTCAAAACTAAGGAGAATAAATAGTTTATATACATAATTTAAAGCAAATCATATAATTTCGGAAATATGTTCTCTAAATATCATTATCAATTGAGATCATGGACACCAGAAGCAACCAGCTGTCTAGCAAGCCAATCAAGTCCATCATGAAGACCAGCACCACTCTGTGCGTCACAAGCTTGTATATGCCAGCTACGCCCACAGCATAATTTATTCAAACCAAATAATTCAGTAATGGTTTCAACTGTAACACATCCATGAATATCCTAAGAGATACAGTCAGAAAATCAATGATTTTATAATAATTAATAAATTAATTTGAAGAAAAATAATATCATACTTGTTTGTTGGCTAAAATTAATAACGCAGCATCTTTCAATTCTTTTTCTGTCATCAGCTTAGATAATTCGTTAGATGATTCTAACAATCTTTGTTGGTCACTGGAGTCAATCACAAAAACAACCGCCTAAATATCACATTCAGTTGTAATAAAAACAATTTACAAGTCAATACTCTAGGTCTAGAGTTAATGTATATTTTATTCTTAAATAATGCATAACACATTTTTGATAGCATTGTTGTTAATGATTAATGATTATTAATTATTATAAAATCAATACCCATAAGTATTAAGTTATGTTAACTTATTAATTAAAAAATAAAATATTAGATTAACAAACCAAACCTGAGTATTGAGATAGTAATGCTTCCACAATGGTCTCAATTTAGGTTGTCCACCAACATCCCATATTGTAAATTTCATGTTTTTATAATCAACTGTTTCTACATTAAATCCAAGAGTGGGAATCATAGTCATGAATTCATTTTGTTTCAATTTGAAAAGCACACTTGTTTTTCCTGCCCCGTCTAACCCTAAAGTGACTACACGAATTTCCATTTTTGGTCCAATATGCACTCTATTATCCTACAGTAATTGAACAATTAATAAAATTGAAAATTGTAAATGGTAAAGTACTGACTTTTGTAAAAGTTATAGGTATACTAGGATCCGGTTGTAATTGTTCTGGACCAAGCTCAGTAAACATCTGTTTATGTTTTTCAATAATATTCAGTGCTTGATTAATATCTGCACTGGCAGATATAACACGGAAATCATCTTGCCGAACGGCCTGCTCACATTGCACACATATGACAGCCACTTGTGATAATGATGATGTTAAATCTTCTTGCAAGCTTCTCAGTGATCCTAATCTCTCTCTTACATGTGTTTCAACAGCACTTAAGGCAGCAGCTTCTTGTACTTGTAGTGTTTCCCGTAGATGTTGGAAATACAACTGAACTCTAGCACGAGCCAAGGAGCATGTACCAGGATTATTTTCATCATCAACTGAGCCATTTGAATCCAAACCTTCTAAACGTAACATTACTTGATCTGAAAGATATAACAGTTTTTAGTATTAATAAAAAGTATAATACCACGATTAAAAATTTATAAAGATAATTTGATATTGAAAAGATATTATTACACATCCTCACCTAATCGTTGAATGGTGTCATTCATTTCTTCCATTAAATTTCGCATCAAAGGTCCAGCACTTTTTACTTTTGATCGTATATTCTCTGCTTCAGTTTCTACTAATGTATGCTGAAATACCCATAATATATACATTTATACAGGATATTAATTTAGGCACGAACTGGTAAAAAATAGCACGAGATGCTACATAATTTAAAGAGCAAATAACTAAAAATGTTGAGACAAATTTAAAATATGTAGATTATTTATAAAATATTAAAATATTTTATTTAGTTTTAATAAAATAATGTAAGCATGTAAAAAATGTAAATAGATACCAATTCATAACAAGCATTTAAACAAAATTGTACAATATTAGATTAAAAACAAATCAGATAAAATAAAATTTAGGACAAGGGATGCAGTAGCATCCTAACCAGTTCACACCTACATGAATTAATTTTTTTATTTTTAGTTAGAGCCGCAACAACTAAGGTTATTGGCATACATGAATTAATATTTAATTAAACATTGTACATTTGTACATTTCTCAAGAGGAAGACAAGCCGTATATTATGTATCCATCTTTCAATTGTGCAACATAGAACATTTGCATTAAGTAGAACCAATTTTTTTATTCTTAACTTTAATGTTAGAATGGATTTACTAATATTATCATGTTTAAAGGTTGGAATACTATATGAGTCATCTCATAAACTATTATTTAATTTTTAAATTTTTAAGGGAGTTATGAACACTTTAAAATTGTATTATTTTATAGTTTAAAGTGGCACATGTGGTATCAGACCATATTATATTTGCACATGTGGGATAATTATTATCTGTTAATATAAAAATACTAGTTGCTTTATATTATTCAATTATTATTGGCTTTTTGTTGCAGATTTTATATTATAAAATACAAAAAAAACTTTTTTTAATAAAATAGAATTCTAAAAACATATCGGGGTAAATAAAATCCAAGTGTGCGTCACTAAAGGTTATGTTAACTCATTTCAAAATGAAAATATCAATAAAATGATTTTAGGTGTTTTTGATAATTTGCCTTTAAATTTTATATTAGGTCAATCATTCTTTTATATTTTATAATAATATCATTTATTATAATTCAAGAACTCTAGTATTAAAGCTAATGATACAAAATTGGTACTGCTGTATGCAAATTTGCTGTGTTTATGTTTGTAAGAAATAGAAAAAACACACATATTTAGTGTATTCTTAATACCTTATGGTTTTTGTGTGTCCCATAATCTTTACATACAAAACACATTAAGGGAGGTGATGGTTGATGGCAACTATCTTGCAAGCAAGTAAATTCAGCCACATGAGATGGATGTAATGGGCATCGAGGTCTTTCTTGTGGTTTCTCTGATATAGGGACACGGCGGTGTTTAGCTAATGTACGTGTACTATGAGTTTGTTCAGAACAATAAAAACATAAGTTTGTACAACATACAGTGCAATAAAGAACAGCTATATGATTTTCATTTTCATCACAAATTATATGCAACTGTGAATTATACAAAATACAAAAATTATTAATAATTTCCAGTTAATATAATTCTTCTAATACATAGTAGGTATATTACTTGTTCTTCTTTTTCCATCGCTTCAGAATTTAAGTATGAGTTAATATTTATTTCTGCTTTATTACTTCTTTGTAAGCGTTCAAGCAATTCTAATAGTGCAAAATTCTTTTTTAAGCCCCAAACTCCTGAAGGTCCTATAGGAGTTGCTTGCCTGTCAAATGGACATTGAACTGAAGAACACTGTTGGTACAAACGTAACAAACATGAATGACAAATGGTATGGCCACAATAGAGTAAACGTGGAACTTTGTCTCCTTGAAGAGTGAAAATATCTTCACAAACTCGGCATTCTAAAACCTAAAAAAAAAATAAAATATAAATAAGCATAGGAACTGTAAAAAAAAATATATTTATATATTGACATATTTTCATATATAGTAATAAATTTAATCTATAAAACAGCACTTTATAGGTATTAGACTTTATATAATGGGCATAAAACTAAATGCGCACTACATTTTTTAATGACAAACAATTATATAAATACTATTTATGTCTTAAATCTAATAAATGGCTAAGAAAAGTATTAACCAATTGTATCTTACGTCAGATTTGTCTGGTATTGATGCTATTCGTCCAAACGAAAGAGAGTTATAATCAAAAGAACTACCGCTCATTTTAATTCATTGAATGTTTAAATATAATAAATTTATTAAAATCTATTATCAAATAATATTTAAAGCCTGAATCGATGGAACTGAATGTTTGTATATCGYATTTAAATACTGATCATCATTCGTTAATTAAATTGCTAAAAAGTATAATAAAAACTATCAAATTAAAAACCAAAAAGGAATAATGAATTAAGAATATTATATTGATAAAGTGTTATCATTCATGTTCAGCTGTTTGGTATTTTTAAGATTAGCGTTTGCTTATATCACAGAATATTCTATGCTTATATATATAATATCATGTATAAATGTATAATATAATCATAGACATAATATATTGTTTAAATATGTCTATGAATATAATCTATGCGAGTAACATAATTCAGTGTGTAATCGCTAATTGAGAACACTCAATATCTTTGAGTAGGGTCCTGCAATTTGAATTCTGTTTTCTAGTTGGTTGTTATGACATAAAAATACACATTTTAATGGCCTATGAACTTTTTAACTTAATTAGATTTGCGCATGCGCAATACAACTTTTTTTTCTTAAATGACAACCATCTATTTTAACCACTGATATTTTTTTGCCTAATTTTTAAATGAATTTTGGTAGTTGAACCAACTTYCTAAGTCCAAAATTGACCAAGTTACAGCCAAACAACAAAAATACTGCAAAATGCGTGCAATTTTCAGTTTTTTTTTTACTGTAACTCTGAAAATAGTTAAAATAATTATTCTAAAATTTTTTAGGATTTACATTTTCACCCTTATCTATTTAGACGATATTTAAACGTTAGGTATTTTAATTTTCACTTAAGTTGTGAACTATGAATAACTTAAAGCAGAACAAACGTAAATAAGTATGTTGTTTATTTCGTTAGAAAAGAACCTATTAGAATTRTCTAAATAAATAAATAATAACTTATGCTATTTTAAATTGGAATAGAAACCTTATGTCCTTATCTTTATTTTACAGTACCAACTAGAAAACAGAATTCAAATTGCAGGACCCTACTCRAAGATATTGAGTGTTCTCAATTACACACTGTATAGAGTCATAAACCTATTAATATAATATATATTATGATTTATGTCTATGACTCTATGTATTAAATTGCACGTGACACACTGTCCGTTTTGAATCAAACTATGTAGTAACCTAATCTGTATTCAATATTTTGTCAAACCTATTTATTTAAACATGGATTTTGATACCAATAAATTCATATCGTGTAATCAGAGTAACCCGTCTATTTGGGAGATTGGTGGTTAAGAAATAAGAATGCATGG